GAGGATTGCGACACAAAAAATCCTGCTAGTGCTGAGATCCAAAGCTTTCTCAGTGTAATTCTAGAGATTGCTAAATCACCATTGTGCTGGTCTGATTTGGATTGTTCGTGTATATTGTTCATCATGTGAAGTAGAAAATAATGCAGGGAAAGGGAAAAATTCTTACCTAGAAGAAATTCAAGGTCGTGGTCGCGCGAAATTGACAACGCCTTCGCATCGTGTGCGCGAGCCAGACCTTGAGGAATGAAGAGAGAGAGGTTTGAGCAAAGGAAAAACGAAGACAAAGAAATTTTATTGTTGGTGGAGGTCGCAGTTGCTGACTGTACATTTGCGCTAACCTTGTTTCGTCCTAGATGAACCCCGCAATCAGCCACCCGGTCCCTTCCGTGTGGCGCATGCTGTGGCGAATTATCACCGCCATAAAGGATCTCATACCGCCCGAGCTTAATGCGTTGTACTTCAGCTTACGCACCTCACTCTCCAACACCGTTGGATTGGAAACGACAAAAAACTTCACTATGGCGTCTTTAGAGGCGCTGTTGGGTCCGATGGCCCGACGGCTTCTCAAGGTCGCCGTGGCCAAAACCACAAATGTGGTTCGGACCAAGCTCGTCTTCATGACGCGGCCCCTGCAATCCCAACTTACACTCAGAACCGCCAGAGTTGCTCGTCAACCAATTCACCCCGTTGCTGTTCTACGACAGCAGAAACGCCATACTAGATGGTTCTCTAGCTCCGCAGCTCAGAATGTCAACCGAGTTATTAGGAGATTCGTTAGCTCCGAGCCCAAGGCTACCCGGTTCGATCGATCTAAGCTCCCGACTTCCAACACATCTCGACGTGTTGCGCAGTTCTCCGGCCGAGCTCCTTTTGCCAATGCCCTTCGGCCGAATCTGACCGGTGGTGCTTTTCCTCGAAGTGCTGGCGGATACAGTCTCGGAGGTAGTGCTCGGTACTTCTCGCATACTCCGGCAGCTCCGGCCCAGGTTGTGCAGAATGTCTCCCAAGCCATGAGAGCGTTCTTCCTCTCTGGCCAGAAGCTCCGTTACGATGGCCTTGGGCCTCGAGGCGAGCGACAGTATCGTTCTGTGTCACCTGTTGAAGACCAGGCGATGCACAAGCTCTCCGCCTTCTCCCACTCTGCTCCCGGCTCTTTCATCGACTTCCAGCTCAGCCCTACCGTCACAGCTCTGAGCCCTCTTGCCGCGGCTATTCCCTTTGCCTCCGAGACCTCTGGCTTCAAGGCTGAGGCCGCTGCTGCTGGCGCTTCCCTCAACACAGAGGGTTTCCTCGACGTTTTGTCCTCTGACTTTGGACGAGCATTGCAAGATCTCACGGCCATCAATGCCGACCTCCGCAGGCTTGCAGTGTTGGGTGACCTTCCAGTCTTATTAGAGAAGCATAACGTCCTTCGAGTCCGCTTTCCGGGCGTTGACGCTGAAACCATTGAGCGACTTTGCGATGACATTGGTATTCAGCGCGGTGTGGTGGGCCAAGATGCCGATTTTGATAATGCAGTCGGTGTTCCAGTTGCCCTCCGATTTCCGTTCGCTCCCGATGGCATGAAGTCAGCCTTTACTCCCAGCGTATCAGTGCGATCCGTCGAGGGTTACGAAACCGACGAAATCTCGACTCTGGACGAGGAATACTTTGTTCAACAATCATATCTGGACGAAATGATAAACAGTCCGTGGCTGGCTGAGACCGAAGGTTACGAGACGATGTCGCCTCCGGACAGCTCTTCAATGGCTGGACCATCGGAAGACTATGAAGGTCTTGAAGGGATCTATCGATTTTTGGAGGAATGTGACCAGGCCAAGGGAAGAATTGGCCGAGCGAATTGATTTTGAGCGAAACGATACCAGAATGCCACATGAAAATGATTGGGCATTGAATTTCATGACCGACACTCTCTACACCTGCATAACCAGCAAAGGCTGGATTTAGTCTGAAACTGTAACTAGCTTGTTACCAATTGATTTCCTTGAGTCCATAATTAGCCTATGAACTCTATTGGACAAGTGCGTGATATTCGTGATAAAAACTGGCTGGCAATGTCATGGTGCTGGATTGAAATCTCACCAATTTTCGTGAAATACTGATAGATCCTGATTGGCATGTGGTTCTATAACTCCTCTCAGAGGGTTCTATCTGGTAGCTGGCTCATTTGCTGTATCGATGGATCATGTGGTTGGCTTGGTGTAGATGGCGAGACTTTCTGAGACGGTTGAGGTTGTGAAGATGGACGTTGCCGGTCGAGAAGATTCGTGCGAGTGGATATATCTTGTAGAAACATTGCCATTGAGAACATTTGAGCACAGCGATGCTGGCATTCGATGGAAGAAGACGACATTGTGAGCTATTGGTTTACGATGAGTGTTGGTGCTAGCGGTGAGTTGAGGAGACGATGAGAAGTGGGCGGGTAGTGATGAAGTTACCCTGTGGCGAGATATCGTGTGCAAAATATCATGAATACTACCAGCCTAGGTAGCTTGTGAACATCACACGATTAAGCGGAATAGTTTTATTAAGAGAGATCATCATATCCATCCCTTCTTAATCACTTGAAACTGTTCGGCTAGTAGGTTGTCTTGGGCTTTTTGCGCGTATCTGAATTATCATTTAAGTTCACATCTTGACAAAGGATTAACACCAAAGCGTTCAATATCTACGATTAACTTAATTTATTTGATAAAATAAAACCCTCTTAGCAGCAAGACCAATAAACTTCTAATCATGTATTGGTATTCTTGAACCGTTTTTCAAGTTTGGTGATATTTGAGGCCATAGCTACCTATGGTATCGCTACCCTCAAATTCTGCTGCCTTAAGGATCCTCTCATAGTTCCCATCCTCAACCCTCTCAATATGAACAACGGAAAACCATTTCTGTGATACATCGAGACATCTCCTGAACGAAAATAATGGCAACGACGCACCACGTTGGCCAACGCATCTCATACGACGGCGCTCTCTGCACAGTGAGATTCGTCGGTGAAGTCTCAGGCACAACAGGGACATGGCTCGGCGTAGAATGGGACGACTCAGCCCGAGGCAAACACGACGGATGTCACAAAGGCGTTCGTTACTTTACCTGTAAGACCAGACCAGACCAGACACATCATCTGCTATATGTGTTTCTCTGCTTGTGTTTGCTTGATAACTAACTGACTCTCTCAAGGCAAATCTAAATTCCCCACTGCTGCCTCATTTGTGCGCCCTTCACGGCCAGCTGACCCGCCGCGTCACTTTCTGTCAGCCGTCAACCACAGATATGCCTCTGAGTACACGCTCCCGGATGGGAGAAGGGCCGCAGAAGAGATTGTATTTTTCGGGAAGCGTGCTGAGGAGGTAGGGTTTGAGAAGATTCGACGCCAGCAAGCCAATATCGGTGAGCTTACTGTGGTGATTCTCGAGGATCTTCAGGTTGCCAGTGCAAGGGCAGACGATGAGAGTGAGGGCATCATTGCAAAGACGTGTCCCAAGATTACGCAGTTGGATCTCAGTCGCAATTTGTTTGATCGGCTTGACCCTGTGTTTGAAATTTGTCGTGAGCTACCAAATCTCCAGCACCTTACGCTCAAGTATGTCCCTCTGGCTATAGGCAAACAATTCACTAACCTAGTTATAGTGGGAATCGATTTCAAAATGTTTTGGGCGATCAATCAAGCGACGCTGTAAACAACGTCAAAGAGCTGTCGCTGGAGGAAACCTTGCTAAGCTGGGAGGAAGTCTGCCACATTGCAACAAAGTCTCCGTCTTTGGCTGCTCTCGATGCTGGATCAAACCAATTTCAGTCTCTCCCTGCTTTAGATTATGGCAATCTCTCGTCGACTTTGACATCAATCAACCTCGAAATCAACGAATTCACTACATTTGTGGACATCAGCACCCTTGCGGCGCTCAGATCACTGCGCAACATTCACCTCAAGGGGAACAACATCTCAACAATTGCTCCTGAAGGTATAGAAGGGCCAATATTCTCGGATACTGTCCAGTATCTCGACGTGTCATACAACAACATTCAATCGTGGGAATTTGTGAACCAGCTTCCCAAACATTTCCCTGGTCTAGTTGGTTTACGAATTGGCCACAATCCCTTCTACGATGCCGCAGACGATGATGCCAAAGCATCCTCTTCGGAGGAGTCACACATGTTAACCGTTGCCCGCCTTGCTTCACTAAAGTCCCTCAACTTCAGCCAGATCACACCGGCTGATAGAAATAACGCCGAGATGTTCTATCTTTCACGGATTGCAAAACAGCTCGCGGCTGCACCAGAGGACGCCGAACAAGAAGTCTTGGTAAATCACCCTCGCTATGCAGACCTTTGCAGGATCTACGGCGAGCCAAATATTGTTCGTCGGTTGGAGGTTAACCCTGCTTTCCTCGAAGCACGTCTGGTTACTGTTGGTTTCCATCTCCAAGATGGGGAGGAAAATGTGAAAAAGATTCCCAAATCGTACGATATCTATGCTGTCAAAGGCATTGCTGGAAAACTGTTTGGCTTGTCGCCCCTCAAACTTGGACTTATTTGGGAAACAGGAGAATGGGACCCTGTGGCTGGCTTTGACGATCAAGAGGGTGATAGCAGCGACGAGGAGGATGCCGAAGAGGAGAGGGAACGCAAAGGGATTGACACACATGCTGCTGAAGAGGATACTGCAGGCAAACCTGGACGATGGGTAAAAAGAGAAGTGGAACTCAAAGATGGACCTAGACAACTGGGCTACTGCGTAGATGGTTTGGATGTCAAGATTCGCGTGGAGGCTCGGTAGGTGTGACAAAGCATTCCTAGTTGCATCTGCGTCTTTGTCCTCATTTGTGTTACAGCAAACAGAGGTCCATGAGACAAGAGGCAACTAACAAACTGTACGCATAAATTATATAAACCGAGCTCCTCAGAACCTGGTCTCCGAACTCTTGCTTCTCTCTCACATTTCACAACCGGCTTGTTCACTTCTCCCCTGCTCATTGACATCACAACACTCGCCAATTATCATGGGAATCAAACCTCAATTCTTCCTGGTCAGACCAGGGGCAGAGCAAATCACACCCGACGGCCAAGTTCTTTCTCAGCCTGCAACTGCTGTCCCTCTTATTCCTGCAGACCTTCTGCCAGAGTGGATTGAAGTCATCGGCGCCCCTCGAAGTTTATCCCCAGATGAGACCAGAGACATGGGGAATTTGGGAGTCATCCATGCTGAGCTGGATACTTACAAGCTTCGATTCTCTCCCATCACCAAGGATGAAGCTTCGACAAGTGATGAATCGGACAGTTCATATGAGCGGGTCACTGAATTTCATCCCAGTACCTGCGCAGTGGGTGTATCATCGTCTCACAACTACTATGAGACACCGAAGCCAACGAAAACTCAGCTTTCAACTCTCAAGTCCAAGCTAAAACCAGCACAAGGCCTCTCCTCTAGCCGCCACAATCCTGTCAACAAGCAGCAGTCAGCCCATCTCAATCCTACTCCCCACAGAGAGACACCACAAATTCCAACCAACACCACGGCACCATCGTCTCAATTGCCCTCACTCTGTCGACACTGGTGTCACCATGGTGTCTGCAAATGGGGTCTAGACTGCCACTATGAACATACAATGCCCATCACTGCAGCAGGCCTTGCAGAAGTTGGCCTGACTGGATTCCCTGATTGGTGGCTTCAGGCGCGGGGATTGATGCCCATGCCTCCCCAAGTTCTTCATGCAGTGGATGCACCAAATGGTCGACGAACCGCGAGGAAGGCTGGGAGCCTTCTCAAGAGAAAGCAGAGAGCCAGAATCCGTGCTCAGCGTCGAGATGTGCAGTTCAGAAACCTTGAAGAGGAATCGGAAGCCGAGGATGAATATGAAGAAGAGGAACACGTCGAGGAGGAAGTGGTTAAACCTGAGCCGAAGAGAGGAGGAGAGGGAATATTGATTGACCTTGATTAATGGGAATGATAACCACCATATCAATTGCATCAGCACTAGGAGATACCTTACTGCATACTTGGTTCATCCAGACAACTACCTACTTTGCATCAAATCGGATTAACAGCACTATCCAATACCCTATCTCCATAAGGGTCTACTCGGCGGTACACAATTCCGTAAAGAGCAAGCTCCGATCTGTTGGCTTCGGACTCTCTCGCGTGGCGTCCCGTTATGGGATACGAGCTGGAGTTGAGTGTTTAGTCAGATCCATTTTCGGATTTATGTAGCATTTTGAAGCTGCAATCCCGATGAACGGGTGTGGCGAACAACACCATTATGGGTCGGATAGAGGGTGAATAATCAATCGTGATAGTTGCAGAGAAATTGATTTTAAATGCGATCATTCAATTCTCCTGATGTATAAATACCTTTGAGCCTTTCCTCGTTGATTCCCTTGTCTCACAACCTCTCCAACATCATCAACACCATCCATATAGTTCACAGCTTGTATTAAATACCAAACCACCCATCTATAAACACCGATATGCCTGAGATTCTGGGAAAGCAGGTCGGCGCTCTTGGTTACGGCCTCATGGGTATGTTCAGCCATTCCAGGGACTTAATACAACCAGACTAATAACATGAAGGCTTCACATGGCGCCCCAACCCAACTCCTTTAGATCAAGCTCTTGAAGCTATGCACACAGCCTTCATCAATGGCTGCAATCTCTGGAGTGGCGCCGAGTTCTACGGACCTCCTGAGTATAACAGCATGACTCTCATCAAGGCATACTTCACAAAATATCCCGAGTACGCTGAAAAGGTTGTCATCGCTATGAAGGGCACTTACAACACTGACACGTTTCAACTCGATGGATCTCCAGAGAATGTTCGCAGATCTATTGACAATGTGCTCAACCAACTTGGCGGTGTCAAGAAGCTTGATATCTTCGCGCCCTCAAGACGAGACCACAACGTTCCCTTTGAAGAAACCCTTAACGTCATTCAGAAGGAGTATGTTGATACTGGCAAGGTTGGTGGCATTGCCCTCTCAGAATGCAGTGCCGAGACCATCGAAGAAGCTGTGAAGCTTGTCAAGGTCGCTCTCGTCGAGGTCGAATGCAGTTTGTTCAGCCCCGACATCATCAAGAATGGTGTTGCTGCTGCATGTGCCAAGCATAATATTCCCATCATGGCCTACGCGCCTATTGGACGTGGTGTAAGCTCGCCTACTCAACTCCGGACTACATAGAACTAACAATCACTATAGATGTTGACGGGTCGCTTTGCCGACAGCTCTCAGTTCCAGGGTCAGGGCATTGCTAGCGGATTCCCGCGTTTCCAGCCAGAATCCTTCCAGCACAACCTCAAGCTTGTTGAACAAGTCAAGACGGTAGCAGAAAAGAAGGGAACCACACCGGCACAGCTTGCCATCAACTGGATTAGAGGCCTGAACGGCCGCAAGGGAATGCCTACCATCATTCCCACCCCCGGAGCAACCACAACAGCTCGAGTCGAAGAGAATGCTCAATACTTCCCGCTTTCGGAGGAAGAGATGAAAACCCTCGAGGATCTAGCTAACGCATTCGAGGTTTCTGGCGGGCGATATCCTGAAGGCGTGCCAATGGAAGCTTAACTGTGAGACAAAGTCTGTGGTTGAGTTAGAACACACTTTCAAGATAGAAATGAGAAACAATAAGTAGCAAAGTTGCTGTTCAGCTGTAAAGTGTCCACGTGTTGCCCAAAACCAAAAGGGCATTCGGAATTGCAGAATTCATAAAAATGAATGCCATCATGAAAGATTGAATGAGTGTTTCAATAAGGGCTGTGACTTACCATACTGATCTATCGTCTTTTTCAACACCTGGTCATAGTGAGTAACTGCTATAGGGAAGACGGACTCTTCAGCAGACTGCGCATTGATTGCGCAGAGCTTCTCAACTCGAAAGTTGAGATTGTTGAAAGCTGAGGTTGAGCCTTAGCTCCACGACAAAACTTGAAGATATTGTTGATGTGGAGACAACACGTGACACAATATCCTCCTGCTTTCTTTGACAACAGGAGGGGCCTGTAACTCAGGAGAGCTGCGAAAAGATCAATAGATTGCATTGTTGATGAAAACAAGGAAAGAAATGAAAAGCCATGGGTATATCAGTAAATTCATCTCTCAACTACCTCACAACACAAGAACATACGCCACTATGCTGCCAATACTCCATCCAATGGAGATCACTAAACTATCAATGCACCATTTGAACCAACTGCCTCCAGTCGGTTCACAAGCTTCTTCACATTCGCCCAGTCCTCACTCTTCGGGCCATCCTTACCACCAAGACCACTGGCAACCTCAAATACTGTGAGAGAGCCATCGATGCCACCAGTGGCAAGACGCTTTCCATCATTGGGCTCCCATGCAACCTTGTTCAGACTCTTCGAAAGCATAGTTCTGCCATCTTTTCGAGAGCTGGGCGAAATCTTGGACACAGGCTCTTCAGTCTCGACTGCAATATCCCAAAGCTCCAACCATCCAGCACCATCGACCAATGCAAAAATGTTGGGCTTGACGGGTGACCACTTAGCGTCATAGACGACATCCTCACGCACAAAGTCAATCAGGGGTGAAATGGTACCATCGCCAGAGCCGATTGTAGATGTCGCCGCAGGTGCTCGAACCTTCCAAAGCTTAACGCTCCAATCGAGTGAAGACGATATGACAAGATCGCCCAAATCCACTGGCCCTCTAGCAGGATGGAAGTCCACAGACATGACAGGGGCGGTATGTCCCTTGTAGCTGATCTTCTTATCAACACCAGCCTTTGCACCGGCACGGTCATATCGATGGCAAGGGAAGATGGTACCCTCCTCACTGCCGACGAGGAAGAATGTAGGATCTGTAGCCGGGAAAGAAAGGCACGTTGGGCTCACGTCTTCGACAGCCACCTTGGCCTGACTAGGGTTCTTGAGTTCAAGAAGTTCCTGAGGTTGAGCGAAGACGTCCATTGTCCAGCCACAGACTACACCATCAGTGGAGCAAGAAATGATATTGTTGGCGTTTTGGGTACCAACAATATCAACAGAGTAAATAGGATGGGCATGGCCATAGCCCGTAAGGGGAGTCTTTTGAACCGGAGCAGCCTTTGCTCTCGTATCCCACAGCAACACCTGACCACTGTATGAACCGCCAATAATTAAGTTGTTGTGGTAGGGAGAAAACTTGGCAGTCAGGATATCTGACTGCGCGGTGAAAACGTATTCAGGGCGATCTTGCATGTGCATGTTCCAGACCTGAACCAACCCGTCAGGTTCATGGGGAGCTGTCGGGTTTTTGGTATATGATGCGAGGACGAGTTCGCTGAATTTTGGCGAGAAATCAATGCCGCTGATCATGCGCTTCTTAGACCACCGCTCGTCAAAGAACTGGACCACTTCTTTTATCCTGTGTCGCCCCTTACCGCCTGTATTCCCACTGTCTTCGTCTTCATCGTCAATATCCTGGCCTTGTAGAGCGTAGTCTGTGAGAATATCATATGTCTCTTGGTCGAGAGCTCTCTCGATCACCTTTGTCGACTTGTCGAGGAAGTCAACGAATTCGTCTGAGTGGGCGACAGCGTCCAGCTCTTCGGCGGTAAGATTTCTGGAAGGATAGTTCGAACCCGAGCCTGAGGGAAGTATGCCGTCGCTCAAAAATTCCTTTGTCGCCCTCAATTCTTCCTCCACCTCTTCTCTAATCTTCTGTCGAAGTTCCTCTTCTCGATCCCGCTCTCTCCTGCTCAGCCTCTTGCTGGGCGTTGAAGTTACGGCGGGAACGTCTTCGGCTTCTGAGATGAGAGACTGAGCCCTAGTTCTGGTAGGTGTTGTCCATTCCTCTGTCGTCTGGACACCCTTGCTGTATGAGAAAACCTCCTTTACTGGAGACGGCGGGCATTCGAAAACGGTCAAGAGGGGAGCAGTGCTGAGACAAGGTGGCGGCTGCGCGGGAACTTGAATGTGACTAGTGGTCGTTACTTCGGAGGGTTCGTTGCTGATCTCGCCGGCGCTGAGGACGCTGTTTGGACGGCTACCACGAGGAGCGGGAGAGCCAGGTCCACCCGTGACAGTTGAGCCGGGCCTACTATCACCGACAAGACTATTTATAAGAGTTTCGATCTCGCGGCGGTTATCTGCTCTTCCAGGGGTTGGCGATATCAACTGTGGTTGAGAAACGTCAACGAGGGGCTTAAAGGCGGTAGGGTATCAGGGGACCAACGTCGTTAGAGGTTCCTATGCTGGAGCGACTTGCTGTCGCTTGGCTTGCCCGAAGCTCTCTCTGGCGCTTGAGCTCAGCAAGCTTCGCCTTTTTCGCTAGAATTTCATCTCGACGTTGTTGCATTGTGGACGTTCCACAGTCGCATTGCGAGACTGAACAATATTGAGAGCTATGATACTGGGTTTAGGAGGGTATGGATCGACAACACGTTGAATGATGATAAATAAAGTCTCGCAAAACAAATAAATAACGAGAAAAAGGCAAGAAATAAAAAGTCGCCCTTCGCGACAAAATGAGGTCGCTGTATGTAAGTTCCTCGTTGTTTGTAGTGATCAAGTTATGAAATGCTGCAAGGTATGAGCTTGTGATGGGGTCCAATTGAATCCATCCATGCGCGACCGGCTCAGGCACTTGCAACCCCCATAAACCCCCTGCACAAGCCTGAAATCTGAAGAATGCTACTAATGGAATTGAAGTCGGTACGTATCGTTGCTTAACTCCACAGTGAATTGATCTGGGAGATGAGGTCGGACACGTGATCACGCTGGCCGGCTCACTGGCTACTGGCTCCAGCTTGTCCGAGCTCCCAGCCGCCAGCGGTTGGCTCTTTGGCAGCGAATGGAAAAACTGCGACTTTTCCCGACGACTTTTCAATTCTTCACCTCAAGCCGACGCATCTAATCCCCTCGAGCCACTCCGACTGGGTCCATTGACAAGCCATTGTCGACCCCCGACTATCGTCAATACCGATCCTTTCGCTCTTCGTCCCGTT